TCATCAAACTACGCCTTTGCCTCTTTGTTTATTTTGAATACGTGCCCCCCAGCGGCGAAAATTACATATTGTGCCTTTGATATTCTTACCTTCAGGGTTAGTCTGCACCGCCCCTCCTGCATCTGCTTCCTCTATACTCTTCCAGCTTCTTTCAGTTTTCCCACCAGATCATCGACCGTCTCCACTTTGACTCCAGCTTGTCTCTGAGGAGGTTCATCCACCTTCAGCACCTCCAACCGTGAGCACACATCCACTCCCAGATCTGCAGGCTTCACATTTGCAATCTTCTTTTTCTTTGCTTTCTAAGGAGGCACAAAAAAAAACAAAAAAAAAACAAAAACACCAATGCTTCTTTTTCTTTCCTGCTGTCAAATAAAAGGTTTCTTTCATGAAAAAGCAGTTGTAGTTTAGTATCACATGCCCTTTTTCTGCTGTAGTGCTACAGTATGTAGCTTGTGTTTTGTAGTGGTTTGTAAATTCACAAGCGAGGTGAACATCTCTTCAAGTAATGTTAACAACACGCTATAATTTACTGAAATTGAAAAGTGGTTTTCTAAAAACCAATCTAAAAAATCCCAAAGGGAACCTGTGGATCAAAAACGCTAATTCTCATCAGAACATTAAATAATGCTTTCATTAAATAGTGAATCTACTTCACAAGAGAGTAAAAATCAATAAAATCAACCACTGAACAACTAAAACATCTTATAGTCCAGGACGATCTAGACACACCTGTCACTGACAAATTTACATAAACTAGCAGTTAAATTTTCTCTTCTGCTCACAAAGGCTGCATTTATTTGATAAAAAAAACTGCAAAATTTGCAATATTTTCAAATATTATTCTAATTCCAAATGTAATTTATTTCTGTGATCAAAGCTGAATTTTCAGCATCATTACTCCAGTCTTCAGTGTCACCTGATCTTCAGGAATCATTCTAATAGGCTGATTATGCTTGATTTTTATTGTTAATGGTGCTCAATTATTAATGTTGGTTCTTTTCATTATCAATGTTGAAAACAGTTGCTTAATCCCTTTGTGGAAACCGTGACATTTCTTTTTACAGGATTCTTTGATGAATAGAAAGTTCAGCAGCATTTATTTGAATTAGAATTTTTTTTGTAACATTATAAATGTCTTCACCGGCACTTTTGATCAATTTAATGTATCCTTGCTGAATAAAAGTATTTAGTTAAGAAAAGATCTTACCACAAACATTTGAATGGTAGTGTTTCACAGTTTCTCAAAAATATGAAGTAAAAACTGATATTGATAATCATCGTTTCCTGAGCAGCAAATCAGCATATTAGAATGATTTCTGAAGATCATGTGACACTGAAGACTGGAGTAATGATGCTGAAAATACAGCTTTGATCACAGGAATAAATTACAGTTTACAATATATTCACATAGAAAACAGTTCTTTTAAATTGTAATAATATTCTAAAATATTTCTGTATTTACTGTATTTGTAGTCAAATAAATGCAGCCTTGGTGAGCAGAAAATACTTCTTTTGAAAACATTAAGAAAAAAACTTTTGGTAGTGAATATATTTACATATATGCATTATCCAAAGCGACTTGTATTGCATTAAAGCTATCCATTTGATCAGTTCAGGCATTCCATGGGAATCTAACTCATGACCTTGAAGTCGCTAGTGCAAAAAATGTGCTGTAGTCATTGGTGTTGTGCAGTGCAGTGTGGCATTACTGTACCATGATGTTGGGCAGTGTGGCGTATCTGGGAGTGTTGAGACGGAGGTCAGCGGTCACCACGGCTGGCAATTTGATCTTAATGGTCTCCAATCCACCATCAACTTCTCTCACCACCTTCATTTTGTCTGCTTCTAAGGTCATCTCAGATGCAAAGGTTCCCTAAAAAAATGATAGAATGATAATAAATTAATAGTTTTATTTGGGAGTCACTATCCCCAACTCAGTCCAGAAAAAAAGTGGCGTAACAGGCAGCGAAAACATCTTCTGAAGAAAATGCTAAGGTGCTCAAATCCATATTAATAGTGATGCTTTTCTTATCAAACATCACTAAATATACAGATGGGAACAAGAGGTCTCACCTGCGGCCAGTCCAACAACGCTGCTATCATCTGTCCAGTTTGATTGCAGTCATCATCTATGGCCTAGATGAGAAATATTACCATGATATCATGAAAGCCATTGATTTATAGTCAGTAATTTGTTAATGTAGTAATTGTTAATGTGCAATAATTAACCGTCAGCTACCTGTTTACCCAAAATTATCAGATCAGCTTGCTCTTTCTTAGCGAGAGCAGCGAAAATCTTGGAGACCTGCAGGGGACCAAGCGTCTCGTAGTCCTTTCCGGACACTTCCACGTGTATGCCACGGTCCGCACCCATGGCCAGAGCCGTCCGGATCGTCTCCTACAACACAGATATTACTTTAAGGATGCTGATTAATGATTTAATAATATTTCCTCACACGGTAAATGAACATAAAGACATGTAACTGTTGAAAAATCTGCAATTTTAGCTGTTTTTACATTGACAATAGTCAAGTTGGATATTTCCTGTTTTAGAAAATTATTTATATTCATAAATATATGTAATGTATTTCAAAAGTTTGGGGTCAGTACATTTTTTCAATATTTTTGAAAGAAGTCTCACCAAGGCTGCATTTATTTGATCAAAAATATGGTAAAACTGTAATATTGTAAAATATTATTACAATTTAAAATAATTATTTTCTATTTGAATATATTGTGAAATGTCATTTATTCCTGTGATCAAAGCTGAATTTTCAGCATCATTACTCCAGTCTTCAGTGTCACATGATCTTCAGAAATCATTCTAATATGCTGATTTGCTGCTCAAGAAACATTTATTATTTGAAATGTTTTTATTTTTGCGGAAACTGTAATACATTTTTTCAGGATTCGTTGATGAATAGAAGAACAGCATTTACATATCTAAGTAATGAAGTATCTAGTTGTTTTTAAATTATTTTTTTTTATTAATTAACGATTTTGAATTTTTCGTATAAATTTATAAATGGGATATTTCCTAGACCGTCACTGTGAATTTTTTTTATAACTAATAATTTCCCTCAGTTTTGGCAACTTTTCCATCACGGCCAATAACTTTAGACAGTGTCCCTCACCAATAAAAGTTACATTTAGTGTCTATCACCAAGGAGAAACATCAGCAAGCTTGAGTATTTCTGACCTGAACCTGCTGAGGACCACAGCTGACAGCCACAACCTCCTTAACAAGCTTCTTCTCCTTGAGTTTGATGGCCTCCTCCACCGCAATCTCACAGAAGGGGTTCATCGAATGCTTGACGCCGTCTGTAACCACTCCAGTGCGGTCAGGCTTGACTCGGATCTGAGGTGGACAGAGACACAGAAACGGTGCTGAAACTTAAAGAACGTACACACTGCCATCATATGACTTTTCATTCGTAGCTGAACTTTTACTTTAATAAATGTTTTCAGCTGTACATGTATTGTACGGTCAGTTAGGACTGGACAGTGACTTTCACAAGGCTGCCCAAAACATTCACAGCCTCTCGTATTTAAGTAAGAGGCGACATGTTTAACCTCAGATGACCTGTGCATGTACTATGCCAAGGCTGGCACGGAGGAAATCATTTCATAACCCAGACTGATCTGTCTGTAACCCAACAGCTGATATTAGCAGTACTGAGGCCACACATTCCCGGATCAATATCCCTATAAGGGTTACTTTGAACCAGATCAGAGGTTTTACAAAAACACAGCTCATATACACAATAAACATAAGTCAAGATCATTGGAATCTGTTATAAACTGCTTTGAAAAGATCATAATGACACAGATTTGGGATATTTGACACTGTATTATTGACAATCAGACTGATCAATATGACCTAACAATTAATAAATTACAACGTAGTAACTCATTTGTTATCGGATTACTTGATAATGGCCAAAACAGAAGAGCACAAGACCAAAGATTAAAGACCAAACCAGCAAATGAGCATTTAGATCGCATGTTCATCCACTTTTAGATGACAAAAATGTAGGCTAATGCAATTAAATCTAACAGAAAATACAATGCTTTAAAACACTTGTAACTGCAACTTAGAATAGTACATGTTAATTTAATTAGTATTTGCAATTATTTTTGTCATATAAGATTTTTCCTTCACATAAAAGGCAGTTTTATAAAATAATGTCAAATAATGTTCACAACCTTTTACTAATGCATTATTAAAATCAACATTAGTTAATGCACTGTGTATTAACATGAACTAGCAATGAACAACTGTATTTTTATCAACTAACATTAACAATGTTTAATAAATACTGTAATAAATGTATTGTTCATCGTTTGTTCATTTTAGTTAATACATTAACTAACATTAACTAATGGAACCTTAATGTAAAGTGTTACCAATGTTTTTTTTTTTTATATTTTTTGAATTAAATGATTTTAAATTCAACCCATCTCAAACATGACAATTTGTTAAATGGTGCTTCCCATCACTTTAATATGTATAATGTATAATAAATGACAAAAAGCTATTTTCACACATACTAAATAATATATGAACATGCATGCATGCATGCATATATATATATATATATATATATAATTGCCTATATGCAATTACATTTATAAACAGACAGAAAATGAAAAATGTCCATTAATGTTGACCCATAACGTGTTGCCATGGAATATTAATAATGTAAACTTTAATATAAAAAGCTAACTAGATGTGAAAACAATCAATAACACCCTACTTTAGGAATTCCTGCAATGACAATATTTTAATATGATATTTTCAGATGTATTCATATGCAACCATATGCATGTTTGTAGTTACAGGTGAACAGGTGAAGCAGAACACAGCTCATTATTAATATTGCACTGCCATAATTGTAAGGAGTTCAGCAGATATGAATTAAAACGACAATAACAACAACACTGACCTTCACCAAACAAACAACCCAGTTCTCTCATGTCGAACCTCATTCAACAGAACAGCTGGCCTGAAGTCAGCTCTTTACCATCTAAGATAGGGCAACTCCGAGTTTATTCATAATTAAAAGCATTTGTGTGTGTTTCTTGAAAGATTGTTTGTTGTATACCTTGACAGCATAGTCAATGACCCGTTTAACTCCGACCAGAACTCGGGCGCTCATCGTGACTCTTCCTCCTCTGCTCTGTCTGACAGAGTGAACTTCAGCAGGAGGATCCAGCCGGAGCGGCTTTGGTGTGACACCATTTGAGGCGGGCTCTAAAGCACGCCCATTCTGTGAGCCAATAGAATTGCTCAGATCAGAGAGCTGTCAATCAAAAGCTGAGCAGTGGCCAATCAGGTACTCCGAGTGTTCCTGCACTCCAGCGCTGCGACTGAAACGGATCGTTCCTTTATAAGTAGGTTAAAGGTCGTGGGACTGTTGTTACAGCAGATCTAGACCTCACTACAATAAATGAAATTATCACAACAAGTGATGAGAGAACTCACGTTGCTGAGAACCAAATATAATCGCAAAATGATTCACTGAAGCGCTCGGAACAGCAGATTAAGGACATCTGCTGGTCACAATGAAAAACTCCAGTCAAAAGTACCCAGATGACTTAAGTTATTTTCTATGTAAAATAAGGAGTTAGAAATCTTGTGTAATAAAACATTTTACACAGTGTCGATTTCTAAAAGTTGCTCCAAATTATGTGGCAAAAATGTGCATCTGCGTATTGTATTTACTGCAAGATAAATCCTTTGAAATGTCATATTATCAGAAGATTATTTTTCTTTAGCCCCAAAGTGTGATTTCATAGATAAAGATAAAGCACAAATGTTAACTCCAAAGCGATTTAAAGAATTATTTTTCTTTTCCAGAATACAATATTTATATCATATTTATTATGTATTATTTTTGATAATATGGTATGCATTATGTTATAACTCATCTTCACTCTCGCAAAATATTGCTGTATTCATTTTCTGAAAAGAAGAAATAATTTTGTATTTTATACATGAATACAAGTATACTACAGTAAACACTTCAAATAAATAAATAACTGCAATTGTATTATTGATGCTACTATCAATAAAAAAATCCCAATGGGGAAATACATCACTGTGGTACAGCATGGCCATACGGAAACATTGATATTTTCTCAATTTACAGTAAAACTATGTTAGATAAAGTTAAACTGTGAATAAAAAGATCTAATTTACTTAACAAAGATGCTGCAAAAAAAAAATCCCCATTGAGAAGAGATGTTTAGAAAAGAGGTTAATAGAGCAATTTTGGAGCACTTTAACAGGTGTCTTCTGTGAGGGTGACATTCAAATGTCATGTGACTTAAAAACAGCACTTCATAGTCTACCTTAAGGCCTGCCGTTTTAATTACCATAGTGCAATATATTGTTTTTTTTTTCTTCAGAATAACAAGGAAATGAGTAGAAATTAATTCTTGCCATATGGCAACTCCGTACCATAAAGGGTTAAATACAATGTTTATATTTCCATACTCCAGTTCAGTTGGTGGCAGTAATGCAGCACGAGCTGGTTTACCATTAAACCTCACATGAAGAAGATGTGTCACATGACTGGAGTGTTTGTGCCCGTGATCAGCCTTGAGAGAGCCAGAGCATTGATGGATCAGCTGGAGTTCAACTCACACACTTCAGTCAGGTAATGCATTACACTTCCAGCAGCTCAGGGCTCGTGCAATGCACATTACTGCAGAAAGTCAAGGGAAGTGTGTCATGCATGCAGGAAATTTCATGCACTGTAAGTTTGTGAAGGCACAGATTTATTCAATTTAATATTAATAATGCAATTTGATTGTGGATACATTGTGTATCTTCTGCAATTGGGGATGCATACCAAACTTTTACTGGTCCTCTAAATTGTTTTGTATATTTTAGAGACCAACATCTGCTGTGAAGTTAAACAAAGTGATTTTTTAAAAACGTTTTGAATGTAATTCAATAATTATATTGTGCTTTTATGTGTCACAAGAACAAGAAGTTTATCTGCAGTCACAAATATAGAGAAAAGAAGTTGTACAAATAGCTGAAGGTATGTCTGTCATTAAGTCGTATTCATCACACATGCTTTTTTTCCCTCCATGATGCATGCTTTATTTGTTACAGTTTTCTCTTTTCCTGATATTTGACTTTATTCCCAAGATATTTGCTTTATAGTGTAGGTGACATGAAATGTAACTTATTTTAAACTTTTGTTTGTTTGTTTTTGCTAATTCTTTATTATACATGGCATGCTATATGCTGTACATTATACATCATATTAATTGAGAGACCTTTGGACTATTACTCATGAATAATATAACCTTAATTTTTTATTTTTTTTAAATGAACACATATGGAAACTATCCATCCGCTGAATCATTTTCTTGATGCAGGTGCAGCAGCCAGTGTTCCTCATCCTTTAGCTTATGTGGATGGCAACATTCACTATCAGTTTCACACAACTTGAGTTTGGCAACTTTTCCATCACGGCCAATAACTTTAGACAAAAAAAAAGGTGAGTTTCCTTTTAGTGTCATCAAAGATAAATCCTTTATTAGAGTCAAGCTTTTTGAAATAAAGATTGAACCAATGTCTTTGTCAAAGACTTTGAATCTCTCTGTTTGTCTGACAGTTTATTTCTCATTTCAGTCAAGAAACTGTCTGCTCTTACCACAAAATCCCCTCTATATAAAATGAAAAAATATCTAAATAAATAAACAATAATAATGCTCTTAAACGTAGGATTTATTTCTTTATGCATATCTATTTTATTTTGGGCGGTGAGATATGACTGGGAAATGTTTTCTTGAGTTTCACCCATTAGCAGCCATGTGATTCTAATCTTTGGCTGGGATTGGCACTGGGCCGGTGTCACATGTCAGTCAGGCGGCGCGTCACATGGCAGATGATTGGAGCGGGGGTGCTGTTCAGGGGCATTTACAAATACGTATTCTGTCAGTGAACAACTGTGTCATTCTAGACCTTTAAATTAGATCATGCACTGCAGGAATGATGGATGAATGGAGAATTCAGTCAGGAGACGCTAGAAATTTCCCATGAACACTTTATAGGGAATTATGGCTGTTTTCTCTACACATCAGGTTCTGTGGCTGCAAAAAACAGCAGAAGCTCTTGTTTTTATGATTACTTTCCTGTAGGGGTCTTGCGATACCTTAATCGCATCACATTATTCACAAATTTCAGCTAAAGTGTCATGACCACATGCTGTTCGGATGTTCTGGCTGAATGTGATGGATATTCTGTTGTCTTATTAAACCTTTACAGTTTAAGAAAAGTCATGGAAAAACCTATAAAGATCTGGAAAGTAGTACATCACTAGTCAAAGTTTTGGAATAGTTCAGATTAGTGCTGGGCGGTATGACCAAAAATTTATATCACGGTATGTTTCAAAATGATACCGGTTTCACGGTACATGACGGTATTTTTTTTTTCCATGCATGACCGGGTGTTAACCATATTTTCTACTAATTGAGAGAGGAAATACTGCAGTATATTGACTTAGAATGCCCTATTTTACTGTCATGATGAGTGAATATTGTCAAAAAATAACACAGCTGTTCCCTCACAACAGTGCAACAGTGAAAAGGGACTTCTTTCAAACAGTGTCGTTTTCCTAACGTTGTTTAAGCAACATAAACCGGTATTGCGGTATCATATCATAACAAAAATAAACACCGGTATTCGGTATGAACCGGTATACCGCCCAGCACTAGTTCAGATTTTTTTTATGTTGTGAAATATTATTACAATTTAAAATAACTAGGAAACTCAGACATCTTCGTCAGGCCAAAGAGGATGCCTACAGGAATGGAGACAGAAACTTGTACAATAAGGCCAGGAACACACTGACAAAGGAGATCAGAGTGGATAAGAGGAGCTACTCTAAAAAGCTGGAAAACCAGTTTTCAGCAAACGACCCTGCTTCAGTGTGGAAAGGACTGAAAGACATCACAAACTACAAGACTCCATCCCCCTGCACTGAGGAGAATCAACAACTTGCTGAAGACTTGAATGAGTTTTACTGCAGGTTTGAAACTCCAGGTCTCACACCCCACACCCGCTCTGACCATCTCTCTACACAGCCATCAACACCTCCAGCAACCCCCCTCCTGCACTTCAGGTCTTTGAAAAAGATGTGCGTCAGGTCTTCTGGAAAGAGAAGAGAAAGAAAGCACCAGGCCCAGATGGTGTTACACCAGCCCGTCTGAAAGCCTGTGCTGACCTGCTGGCCTCCATCTTCAACAGTTCACTGGAGCTGTGCAAAGTCTCTTCCTGCTTCAAACGCTAAACCATCATCCCCATCCCAAAGAAACCCAAAATCACAGGACTCAATGACTACAGACCTGTGGCTTTAACATCTGTGGTCATGAAGTTGTTTGAGAGACTGTTGTTGGCCCACCTGAAGGACATCACTGGACCCTCGCTGGACCCCCTACAGTTTGCTTACCGAGCAAACAGGTCTGTGGATGATGCAGTCAACATGGGACTGCGTTATATCCTAGAACATCTGGTCATACCATGGACTTATGTGAGGATCATGTTTGTTGACTTCAGTTCAGCTTTCAACACCATCATCCCAACACTCCTCCAGACCAAACTAGCTCAGCTCTCGGTCTCTAGCTCTGTCAATGGATCACCAACATTCTGACAGATAGGCAACAGCTAGTGAGACTGGGGAAATTCATGCCAAACATCAGCACTGGCGCCCCTCAGGGCTGCGTTCTCTCCCCACTGCTCTTCTCGCTGTACACCAACGACTGCACATCTACTGACCCCTCTGTCAAGCTCCTGAAGTTCGCAGATGACACTACAGTCATCGGCCTCATCCAGGACGGTGATGAGTCTGCATATAGAAGCGAGGTTGAGCAGCTGGCTGTCTGGTGCAGTCTTAACAACCTGGAGCTGAACACGCTCAAAACAGTGGAGATGACAGTGGACTTCAGGAGAACCCCCCTGCACTCCCCCCACTCACCATCATGAACAGCACTGTGGCTGCAGTAGAGTAATTCAGATCTCACAGGACCTGAAGTGGGACAATCACATTGAGTACATTGTTAAAAAGGCCCAACAGAGATTGTACTTCCTTCGCCAGCTGAGGAAGTTCAACACGCCACAGGAGCTGCTCACACAGTTCTACTTGAGTCTGTCCTGTGCACTTCAGTAACTGTCTGGTTTGGCTCAGCTATAAAATCAGACATCAGAAGACTACAGAGAACGGTTCGGACTGCTGAGAGGATTATTGGTGCTCCCCTGCCCACCCTTCAAAAACTGTATATATCCAGAGTGAGGAAAAGGGCTCAGAAAATCACTCTGGATCCCTCACATCCAAGCCATCTCCTTTAAAACTCTTACCGTCTGGCTGGTGCTACAGAGCACCGAACACCAGGACTGCCAGGCACAAAAACGTTTCAGGCAATCTACCTCATGAACTGTGAAATGTGACCCTGGACCACAAAAGCAGTCTTAAGTCGCTGGGGTATATTTGTAGCAATATCCAAAAATACATTGTATGGGTCAAAATTATAGATTTTTCTTTTATGCCAAATATCATTAGGATATTAAGTGAAGATCAAG